GATGCTTCGGGCAAACAGAAATTTAGAATTGTAATAGACTACCGAAAATTAAATGAAATAACAGTAGGAGACAGACATCCAATACCAAACATGGACGAAATCTTGGGAAAGCTAGGCAGATGTAATTACCTTACAACTATTGACCTGGCAAAGGGTTTCCACCAGATCGAGATGGATCCAGAGTCAGTTCCAAAGACAGCTTTTTCCACCAAGCACGGTCATTATGAATATCTGCGCATGCCATTCGGATTAAAAAACGCACCAGCCACCTTTCAACGGTGCATGAATGATATTTTACGACCACTCTTAAACAAGCACTGTCTTGTGTATTTGGACGACATAATTGTATTCTCGACATCCCTTGATGAGCACCTACAATCGCTCAGACTAGTTTTCGAAAGACTAGCAAGTGCCAACCTTAAGTTACAGCTTGACAAGTGTGAGTTTCTTAAACAGGAAACCACATTTTTAGGACATGTTCTAACACCAGACGGAATAAAACCAAACCCTGAAAAAATTAAAGCCATTCAAAAATATCCAATTCCCACTAAACCAAAAGAAATAAAAGCTTTTCTTGGACTGACGGGATACTACCGTAAGTTCATCCCAAATTTCGCAGATATAGCCAAACCCATGACTAAGTGTTTAAAAAAGAACATGAAAATTGATACTAAAAACCCAGAATATGACTCAGCATTTAAAAAAATTAAAATATCTAATATCAGAGGACCCAATTCTTAAAGTACCCGACTTTACTAAGAAATTTACTTTAACCACAGATGCAAGCGATGTCGCTTTGGGAGCAGTACTCTCACAAGAGGGTCACCCACTTAGTTACATTAGCCGAACGCTTAATGAACACGAGGTCAATTACAGCGCAATTGAGAAAGAACTCTTGGCAATTGTATGGGCGACAAAGACTTTCCGACATTACCTACTTGGAAGACACTTTGAAATATCCAGTGACCACCAACCACTAAGCTGGTTGTACCGTATGAAAGATCCAAATTCAAAACTAACCCGATGGAGAATAAAATTATCCGAATTCGATTTTGACATAAAATATATAAAAGGAAAAGAAAATTATGTAGCCGACGCCCTATCCAGAATAAAACTCGAGGAGACATACTTGAGCGAACAAACCCAACATAGCGCAGAAGAAGACAATAGTGACTTGATCCCTATTACAGAGAGACCTTTAAACACATTTAACAGACAGGTGGTATTTTTGAAGGGACCACCAGACATTAAAATAACAAAGTATTTCAAAAAACACATAACTCAGATTTATTACGACAATATGACCAGGGAAAAAGCCGAACAATATTTGATTGACCATTTTTGCGGTAAAAAGAGTGCGTTGTATATTGACAGTGACGCAGATTTCGAGACCATTCAGGCCGCACATAAACAGATTACAAACACCAAATACACTAGAATCTTGCGTAGCATGATTCTACTAAAAAACATAACCACTTATGCAGAGTTTAAAGAATTGATCTTAACCACTCACGAAAAACTTCTACACCCTGGAATACAGAAAACTACTAAACTTTTCGGTGAAACGTACTATTTTCCTAATAGCCAACTACTTATCCAAAACATAATAAATGAATGCAATATTTGCAATTTAGCAAAGACAGAGCACCGAAACACAGATATGCCAATGAAAACCACACCCAAACCAAAGCATTGCCGCGAAAAATTTATGATTGACATTTACTCATCTGAGGGTAAACATTACGTTAGTTGCATGGACATTTATTCGAAGTTTGCCACATTAGAAGAAATAAAATCAAAGGACTGGTTAGAATGCAAAAATGCACTTATGCGCATATTCAACCAGCTGGGCAAGCCAAGAATACTGAAGGCGGACAGAGATGGCGCATTTTCCAGTTTGGCTCTCAAACGATGGCTGGAGAGTGAGGAGATTGAATTGCAACTTAACACCACAAGGACCGGCGTTGCTGACATAGAAAGACTACATAAAACAATTAATGAAAAAATTCGCATAATCAAAACATCCGACGACGACGAAGCTAAACTAAGCAAAATAGAAACAATACTTTACATATACAATCACAAAACCAAACACGATACCACTGGACAGACCCCTGCACACATATTTCTCTACGCTGGACAACCCATATTAGACACCCAACTAAACAAAGAAAACAAAGTAAACAAAATAAACAATGACAGAATAGAATACGAAGTCGACACAAGATACAGAAAAGGTCCACTACAGAAAGGCAAATTAGAAAATCCTTTTAAGCCAACTAAAAATGTGGAGCAAACAGATTCTGACCATTACAAAATCACTAACAGAAATAGAGTTACTCACTACTACAAAACACAATTCAAAAAACGAAAGAAAAATAATAAAATTCCAATTCCACAGGTACTTGTCACCTAATAACATTACTACTTATACTGACCGCCACGGTTCATGGACAACAAATTCAAATTAATAATATTGACACCAACCACGGATATCTCCTTTTTTCCGATAAACCAGTCCAGATACCATCCTCCTTTGAGCATCACTGTTTAAGGATCAATTTAACCGAAATAGACACCGTAGCTGAATATTTTGAACAAAGGCTGCGTACCGACTATCATGCACCTCAAATCAAATTTTTGTACAACAAGATGAAAAGAGAACTAAGTGGAATAACCCTGCAACACAGAAATAAACGTGGACTTATTAACATTGTAGGCTCAGCTTTTAAATACCTATTTGGCACACTTGATGAAAATGATCGAGCAGAAATACAGAAAAAACTTGAGACACACGCCCATGACACAGTAAAGGTTCATGAACTTAATGACGCTATACGATTGATAAACGACGGAATGCAGAAGATACAGAATATGAAAATGACCACAACATCGTTAAAACCCTTTTATACGAACTTATGCAGTTTACAGAATACATAGAGGATCTGGAAATGGGAATGCAGCTTTCCAGACTCGGACTATTTAACCCCAAATTACTAAATTATGACAAGCTCGAGAATGTAAACAGCCAAAATATTTTGAACATTAAAACATCCACTTGGATCAATTACAATGATAGCCAATTACTAATCATATCTCACATACCCATTAACTTTTCATTAAGAAATACAATTAAAATAATCCCTTACCCAGACTCCAACGGCTATCAGTTAGATTATACAGACACTCAATCATATTTCAAGAAAGGAAATAAAGTTTACAATAGAGAAAATAAAGAAATAAACAATGAATGTGTCACCAAAATTATTAAACATTCAAATCCAATTTGTAATTTTGAACCAGTACATACAGACGAAATAATAAAATACATAGAACCAAACATAATTGTAACCTGGAACTTAACCCAAACCAGTCTTAGACAAAACTGTCAGGATCCAATTAATGATTTAAAAATAAAAGGAAATAAAATGATAAGCGTAACAGCATAATTTTAAGCGAAAACCTTTTAAAACCTGAAATAGATTTAACACCACTATACACACCACTTAATATAACAAAAATAAAAATTGTAAAACGCAACGACATTGTCGAAATGATTTCTCAAAACAACATTACACTTTACATACTAATCATTATTGTCATCATTACACTTGTTTTGTTGTACTTATATTTAAGATATGTAAAATTCAATCCATTCATGATGCTGTATGCACAATTAAGATTAAGACCGGATCAAAATCAGAGTATACCACAACAAGTAGAAATAGAACAGAATCCATTACCTTTACTATATCCATCAATTCCAGCCCAAGTATAGGCTTCTCTTTAAGGGGAGGGTAGTGACGTATTTGCGCCACCCATGCCGTGAAACCATAAACAATAATTGAATCCCATACTGTATGCCATCTGCGCAGTATGCAATCTAATAAACAATTCTTTGGCACTAGCACTTAACCGATCATGTAAACAAATCCCAAAGCCTGACCTAAGCAGTTTTGCCTGCCCTCTCTGAGGCTTCTCCTCATCCTAAGAATCCAAGAGCAATGCTCTCACAAAAAATACTAACATACTCTTTAAGCACAGAGGCTTCTCCTCAATTTTACTCACATTTGATTTTCAGTCTTAAGCTGTCAATTGAACAATAAAAACGCATTCGGTCCCGATATTCTAATCGTCTTTTTATTTGGAAAATACAATTTTCAGCGTTGGTCTGAGTAATTTAAACAGTCCATTCAATAGGCTCAAAGCCATAAAACATTACTATATATATATTATATAAATATATATTATATGCCGAAAGTCTTGACCCTCATCTATAGTTTTACCAGCACCTTCTATTGATGTTTACTTATGAGGGCAAAACCTTTTCGCGATGCTTCGCACAATTCGCTTATTTTTTTCAGCCTGTTTCACTTAGTTTCAAAAACTAGCAAGCGTTCGTAGGTGATATATTGTTCGAATATAATTTTCTAATCCAGAGTAAGAGATGCCATATTGCTTACTTTTATTTATCTACGCGCCAACATTTCAAACATTCTTATTCATTAAAATCCTAAATTTTCAATATAATAATTATAATTATATAAACAAAACAAGAAAGAATGCTCTAGTCGAGTTTCCGGACTATCAGACCCGTTTTTCAGCTAGTTGTAGTACGAACGATAAATTTCTTCATTTTCTGGAATATCGGTAGAAATTTCGACAATTTGTGACAATTTTGGGATGTTCGTGGGCTTGGCCCACATCCAAAGAAATTTACATAAAAAAAAAACATTTCAACATTTTTTAAAAGTGTGGGCGTGGAAGTTTTGGACGGCTTGTAGGCATAAGAGTGGGCTAGGCCACATCATCTAACAATTTCTAACATGTCTCTGAATTCTGCATGCTTCGCTTTTATTGTTCCTGAGACGGACAGACGGACATAGCTAGATCGACTCAGCTATTGAACCTGATCAAGAATATATATTATATACTTTATATGGTCGGAAACGCTATGTATTATATTATATTTTTTTAATATTTGTTGTTTTATGTTTCAGGATATCCATAACAAACTTAATGTAGCACATACCACAATACAAAATTTTTTGAATATCCCGCTCCCTATAACAAAGCTTGATGTCATCGCGATACCTAATCTTTCAACAGTTCCTTATATCAGCGCAAGTGGTATTCTGATAGTTAGGTAAGTGTGTTTAATTATTTACTACTAATATAACTCCATAATCCTTATAGAGAGTCTGAAATTGTAAAGAAAGATGTATTTGACATTTCGCGGGAATTAATTTATCAATGGATTGGTATATGGATAACACCTGAATGGTGGACTGATGCTAATGTAAATAAAGCTCTAATCAGTTTTATTGCGTCAGAAATCGTTTTTGAAGTAAGTCATTGTACCACTTTCAACCAATTTCCTAAAATATATACGTTTTATTCCTTAGATAAATGGCGGAATAGAGTTTAATGGTAAATATCCAATGACAATTCTTTACTCATTGTACTATGAGTTTAGCAAGAGGTATCCCCACTTGCACATAGCAGGAATAAAACATGAGTTTGCGTCATTTAAAGTTCAGCTTATAATTCGAATGATTAGTCTAACCGTAGGAAAATACACGTTTAGACTCGGAATACAACGCTTTATTAGTGACTACAAATTTAAAACGTATAAAAGCTCTGACTTCTGGAATGCAATCACGATACAAGCTAAATCAGATGATTCACTAGATAGTAATCTTAGTTTAATAAGCATTGCTGAGTCTTGGTTAAAGCATGGCCGCCTACCTCTTGTCACAATTATAAGAGATTACAATTCAGAAACTGCAATTGTTCAACAAAAGGTATATCTTAGAGAAAGGCCACACGATATACCCGACCAGGACAAGATGCTTTGGTGGATCCCCATTACGTTAACGCGGGAAGACAGTCTAAATTTTGTGAATACTACGTCATGTATATGGATGAATAAGACAAGGCAAATGGATATTTCAAACCTGCCAAGCAAAAAAATGTTTATAATTGTTAATCAAGAGGAAATCGGACCGTTTCCCGTTAACTATGACGTCAACAATTGGAACATGCTGGCAAAATATTTACGGACGGAAGATAAAAGAGAATCAATTCCAGTATTTACAAGGTACATATTTCAATTACCATAATTAATAGGCCCTATTTAATCAGTTTCAATCAGCTCACTTAGACAGTGTTTCGTTGGCTTGCGCATTTTTGTAGTGAGTCGCTATGTTTATGCGTTGCAGCTCCAGCTGGTTTTGCTTCAGTTGAAGATCTTGTTTAGCGATCTTTTTACTTCCCCATCGCTTGTTTTAACCGTGACTACCCGGACTTTATCATCTTGTCCTTTAGTCGTACTAATGATTCTTCCCATTGGCCATCTTGCAGGGTGAGTGTTCTCATGTTTTATAAGAACCAGCTGTCCCTCCTTCAGATTTGGCTTTACTTGGCGCCATTTGGTTCGCTGTTGCAATGACACCAGATACTCCTCTTTCCATTTCTTCCAAAAATCACCTCTGATGCGTTGAATAAGCTTCCATCTATCCAAAGAGCTGATTGTCTTACTTTCGTCAAAATGTTCAGGAGCTCCAATTAGAGGTCTTCCCACCAGAAAATGACACGGCGTTAATATGTCCTCACCATCGTTTTCGCTCCTTACAGTGACTAATGGACGCGAGTTTAGCACTGCTTCGATTTGACATAGCAGCGATGCAAATTCTTCATATGTAAAGCTGTTTTCACCAATAACTCGTTTAAGGTGATGCTTCACTGATTTTACACCGGTTTTCCATAAACCTCCCATGTGGGGGCTTCCCGGGGGAATAAAGTGCTACTTGATGCCTTCTTTTTCTAGTGTAGGTGCTAACTCATTATTGTTTTTAATGGCAGCTACAAATTCTTTGTCCAATACTCTTGAAGCTCCTACGAAGTTTGTTCCATTATCTGATTATATGTTCTCACTCTTGGCTCGTCTTGCAAAGAACCGTCGAAGAGCCTCCTGGAATTTGTCTGATGAAAGGTCGCTAACAGCTTCCAGATGTATCGCTTTTGTTGCCATACAAACAAATACACAAATGTATCCTTTATAAGTTTTTTGACCTTTTCCCTTTGAGCAGCGAATCTGGAACGGTCCGGCGTAGTCGATTACAGTATTTTGAAACGAGTAATCAGCCGTTACTCGATAAACTGGTAAATTTCCCATCAGTTGACTGGACATCTCTTGCTTGTATCGTATGCATACAATACATTCCCTTAAATATTTCTTTAAGGAATTTTGTATGCCAAATATCCAGAACTACCTCTGAATATAAGTTCTCATAATGTTAATTCCGCCATGCAGAGTTTCTTTATGAGAATCCTTTACAATTAACCAAGTCAAATGTGACTTATCCAGTATAATTGGATGTTTTACATTATACGGTATCATTGCGTTTTGTAGTCGTCCACCAACTCGAAGTACGCCATCACTATCCAAAAAAGGATTTAGCGCCTGTAACTTACTCTTTGGGTCTAATGTCCTTTTGTTTTTGAGTAGTCTGATTTCGTGTCCAAAATCTAGCTGTTGTTGTATCTTTACCACAGCAATCTTCGCTAGCTTTAATTCCTCCACCGTAAGATGTGACGGCTGTTGCGATTTTCCTCTCAGCTTTGTTATGAAGCGTAATACATACGCCATTACTCTAAGAAGTTTGTCGATCGATGAATACTTCGATAAAAGATGGTTTTGCAGATATTCGGATTTTATCAATGTGGATACCACAACAATTTCCGATTCCTTTTGAACCAGTGTTGTGCATCTATAGATAGCCAATTCGGCCGTCTCCACCAAATTTCACAGATTTTAAGAGCTTGCGGTGATATCCCTCTTGAAGCCACGTCTGCTGGATTTTCTTCCGATTTAACGTAATTCCATTTGACATTGGGAATTAGTTTATTGATATCTTCCACTCTAGTTCTGACGAACTTATCTTTGCTGCGCTTGTTCTGTACCCAAGCAATAGTAATTTGCGAATCACTCCATGCATGCGTTGTAATCTTGTTGCTCCATATAGTCTGCACTTTCGCTAATAACTTTGCTAGTAAATGCGCAGCACATAATTCCAACTTTGGAATTGTTTTCCTGTTTTTTATAGGATTTACTTTGCTTTTTGCTGCTAGGAAAGTAACTCTGCCGCCTACTTTTGTATACACAGCCGCTGCATATGCTTTCTCTGATGCATCGCAGAATCCATGTAGCTCCATAATACCTTTGGAGCATCCACGAGCATATTCCATTCACCAGTTAGTTGGATTCCAATTCAACGTCCCAAGTCATCGGTAACTTCCACAGTTCCTGAATGAAACATTTGCCTTGAATCGTTACAGGTGCCAACCATCCTAGTGGGTCGAAAATTCTGGACAACTGTGATAACACTAACCGCTTTGTTATGCGTGTTAGCATTGGTTTTTCTGCCGAAAACGTAAATGTATCCTTCTTCGGATCCCATTGGAGTCCTAAGGTTTTGATCGATTCATTCTCCTCAATGCAGATTTTCTCCGTAGCACCGTCGTCCTGAATGTCGGCTAAAATACGTTCGGCATTTGCAACCCATTTTCGCAGATGCATGCCGGCCTTCTCCATTACTTGTCTCAATTTTCTTTGAAGTTCATAGCACTCGTTGACTGTGTCTCCACCAGTTATGAGGTCATCCATATAAAAGTCGTCTCTAATTGTTTCTGCTAAGACACTATCCTCTTGGCAAAAGCGATCTGCCAAGATCTCGTAGACATCGGACTGCTAAGAAAGGTGCTGCCGATGTGCCATAAGTTACGGTTGTTAACTTAAACTCACTGATCGGCAATTTTGGATCATCTCTCCATAGGATATATTGGTATTCTTGGTCTTTCTCAGCAACCTTTATTTGGCGATAAATTTTTTCAATGTCAGCTACCATAACATATTACCACTTGCGTCACTTAATTAGAATATCGAATACATCCTTTTGAATCTTAGGACCAGCTATAATAACGTCATTTAGGCTTAGTCCATTTGTCGTCTTTGCGGATACGTCAAAAACTTTTCGTAGCTTCGTAGTTAAGCTTCCACGCCTGATGATTGCTTGATGGGGTAAATAGTATTTACCTTGACCCGTGGTTTTTAAAGATTCCATATGTCCCATCTTAAGGTATTCTTTCATGAATTCGTTGTATGCACCCCAGTTCTTTGGGTTTCTTTGAAACTTTATTTCCATTTGCATAAGCCTTGCCATTGCCTGTTTGCGAGAGTCTCCCAGCTTTGCCTCTTTGTGGAATGGAATTGAAACCACAAATCTGCCTTCGCTAATGACAGTTGTTTCTTGGAATTTTCTTTCGCATTCTGCATTGTCTGTAATCGTCTCATCGGCTTCATCTTCCAATTCCCAAAGGCGTTCCAGGTCCTTTAGATTAATTGTTGTAGTGGCACTAATAATTTTTTGCTTTGCTGCTCGAGTTATATTTAAGAACACAATCCATCCAAATCTGGTTTTTTGTCCCAAGATTAGATTCACGGTTTTTGTTTTCTCCATCGTAATCAGGGGAAATAGATCCACACCTATCACCATGTCATTTCTGCTTGGCTCGTTGAATCGTGGATCTGCTAGTCTGTAGCCCTTCCACTCTTTATTGATATCAATATATAACTTTTTGCTGGGAAGGGCTCTATGGAGTGTTGGTAAAACCAATGCTTCCGTTGATGTTTTGAAGCTGCTTGGAATTTTTGGTTTGATCGTCAGGTGGACGCTATTTTTTGATAATTGAGTAGTCTGGGAGATACCTTCGACCTCTATAGTACTCCGTACTCTGGGAATCCTATATTTTTGTGCTGCTTCCTCTGAAATCAGCGTCTTCAGGGATCCACCGTCAATTAGCGCCCTCAACTCGTTGTAACCTCCAGCTTTGTTTTTCACTAAAACAACAGCTGTCGCCAATATTGTGTCTTGGCCTTGCTTGAGGCTATTGCTGTTGATACTGCGTTTTGTGTCTTCATGAAGAAGGCTGTTGTGTCCTTTGGAGCATCGATTGCATGTAATTTCCTTTCTGCAGTCGATAGCATTATGTTTTCCAAAGCATCTAAAGCACATGCTGTTCTTTTGAACGAATTCTTTTCTTTTTTCGATTGATTGTGCTCTGAATTTGAGACACTTTATCATAAGGTACACGATCTAACTTGCACTTTTCTTGTAGCAAGCTGAGCGGAATTTTTGGTAATGGCATTTACTGAGTTGTATTGTTGCTCAATAAACTCCAGTACATCTTGTAAGAGCTGTATAGCTCTTGCATTTTTTACATGCTGTTCATACAGCTGCAAGGCTTCTGGCGAAAATTTCCGCAGCAGAATTTCTGCTAAAATTACGTCAGCAGAGCTTCCTATTTTTCCTTTTTGCTTTATGATGAATATGCTCTCGGTCGCAGTATCCAAAAACTTCCCTAAATTTTTCTCATCATGGGGCAGCAAGCACTCCAGTTCCATTAATTTGTTAAAGTGTTGGGAGAATATTTTTCTGCTATTCTCAAAGCGTTTGCAGATAAGCTCCCACGCTGCTGCATAGCTAGCTACTGATCCCGTTATCAAATGGCTAACCACCATTTGAGCTTCTCCTTTTAAGCAGGCTCTTAAATATCCCAGCTTCCTTGTGTTGCTGAGATCCTTCCTGCTGTCTATTAGTTCAGAGAACAGCTCGTAAAATGTTGGCCATTCCTTCGCATTTCCATTGAACGTTGGAAGGTCCACTTTTGGGAGTTCTGGCACGTCGTAGTTGGAACTTTTGAACTGTTCCAACTTCATTTGAAGTACCATCTCTAGTGCGGCAACTTCAGATTGCAGAATGTCTGCCTCATCTTGATCAAAGACAGTTCTGTCATACTTGTTTTCAAGCAGTTTCAGTGTGTCCGTCACGTTGGACCAATGACTTTTCATCATTGCCAGCTGCTTGACTAGTTCAATCTCACTTGAACTACCCAGGGTTTCGTAGATTAGGCTCATCTTTTGCCTCACCCTGTCCGCTCTTCTATCCACCAGTTGAACCAGATTATCAACTGGACTGGAGCTCCGAGCTGATGCGGTATCAGATAATTTTGATCCACTTGGTATATTTATTTCTTCAA